ACAACCAAATGTCCAAAAGGGGGGAAAAAAAGTAATTTTGACCTTCTGATGGCAGCGACTACATGATTGTTTTCATTCATCTCCCACAAATGTACATCCAAGAAAATGTTTCTGGACATATTCAAAGAAAAAGATGGGCAGGGTATCTTCTTAAGCGCATTAAAATGAATTTTAATAAATTTAATAAAGCTATTTCAATTTAAGCAAGGAACTTGAATGCCAATTATCAATATGAAATGACATAAAACAAACACATTATGAACATGCAGAAATCTGGATCTACAATGGGAATGTTGACAGCGTCTAAAATCAAACAGCACTCAATCACTAATCTTCTCTGGGAGTAAGATTTGTCCCCTGCTGGGCCTATAATTTTGTTTTCTCTTTTTGTGCTGTTCATGTGTAAATATTGCCAATTTCATTTGACACAAAGAAGGAAAACAACTTAATTTTGTTTCTAAGCTAATGAATGACACAGAGTCCCCTCTAGGGGAGGTGGTGTGATATACGCTTCCTGACAATGATTTGGGGGAAAAGACAAGCCATTTCAAATGTTTGTAACAAGGAAACAAATTTATTGATTTTTAAAAGACAAGACACCATTTTGTTTTGAAAAACACAAGAAAGCTAGCCTGAGTTCAAGTCTGAAATATTCAGAAAAAATCCTACTAATATCTTTAGTATGTTCCAGTCATTTGTTTAAACAACACACTAAAAGTTAATATATATTTTTATAATTATAAAAGTTCCCCAGTTATTGTACAGTACACAATACAAATCGCCCACAAACTAGTATTTAGCTCCTGCCAATCTTGAGAGGACATGGTATACTAAAAGATTTAGCGTTTCTCACAAAAATCACATCAGGAAATACGTATTTACAAAATCAAATACATTATACAAAAAACCATCACATGTTATTCGGTAAAGATGTTTTTAAATAATTAAAAAGTTTATTCAACTGTAGTCCAAAAACTGGAAAAGAACATTACATTATCTCACACATACAATCTCTACAAAAGTTGCTTACCTCATTTACATAATATATTCAGTCGATTGTAAAATAAATGCTCAAATATCTCCTAGTGTCACTACGTTGTGTGCTTGTGGGACTGAAGAATGTCATCTGCCACTTACTAAGTGAAATTTAAATGATGGCACTTAAAAAAAATACAGTATTAAAAAAATCACAACGAAAGAAGTTTTACCTAGAAGGTACGAAAGCCCTGAGCGGTAGTGGAGTCACTGATTGGTAAGCGCTACAATTAACCTAATTAAAAGTTTACCACCTCAGGCACAAATTCCCAAGTCTTCTCAAGGCACTCACTTCAGTTTCTGGAGCCAACTCATTGGTCGCCACCATAGGTCCAAATCGATGACGGAGATGAGCAGAGAAAAGAATCTGCTTTGGTACAGAAGATGCTTTTTAAACGAATAAAATTTAATACCTTCCTTAGCGGGTCATAGAAAATTGCGTATGGTAGGCTAAAACAAGGCAATCGTTTGCTCAGAAATGCTAATTTATTCCAGGAAAATTTACTTGGTCATCAAAAGTCAATCAGAGTTTTATTTTTGCTTTCCTCCCCAAAATCAAACTTCTCACGGAGATTTGTTATCATCATTACTGAACTACATAAATGATTCTTACCAAATATTTCATTACTCAGGGCTTCCAATCCCAACGTCATACTTTATTTAAAAAAAAAAGAAAGAAAACAAAGGGAAAGAAGGGGAAAAGATTCAAATATCAGAACCAAATAAAAGAGACAAATTATTTCTTTAAGAAGACATATCACCAATCCCTTTAAACAAAAGGAGAATCAATCCTAGGCAGTCACTTTGTAAGCGGCTTTTACTATTTAAGTAAAATTGGTAAACTAAACTCAGGTCTACTGGCACATAAAATCACTAGCAGCAATGGGCAAGGCATGCAAACTGAGAAGCATTTACAGTAAATCATCATGAAGATTCAAAAGAAGAGAGCTAAAGGAAAACCCTTTGAGGATTGCATGTTGACACACGAGTAATTTGCATGGTCTGACTTCCTCAACTGCCTAAAAAGCAACGTGCGTGCGGACACTTGCACTATGCTACGGATGTCAGTAGACATCGGAATAGGTTACACTCCCGTTTGTGCCCAGCGAGGGCAGTGCGGGCACATATGCAGACAACACTGCTCTGTGGTCTGTCACACAGGGGAGGACCAGATCAACTGTCCAGAAGTTCCCTCGGAGAAATCAGCAATGTTGTAAGCAGAATGACATTCAGAGATATCTGAAGCAGTAGTCACAGCATGTCCCGACAGAAGAGCTTAGAGCAAGGGAGTGCCTCGCTCGCCACTCTGTCTCTCTCTGACTTATTAGCATTAACGCATTGGAGCATAGATAAAATTATGCCCCATATGAATTTCCAAACAGTATTTTATGATAGATGCAACTTCAAAGGCCTAACTGTCCCAAGTTCAGTTGTGTTTAAAGGAACTCATTTCTTCCTAAGGCTCCACTTGCATTTGTACTTTCTAAAGCTAAATAAATGAGATCTTCTGTTTTGGGAAAAAAGAAGAAATGTAACCCTTTATTTTATTACACCTTTTAAAGGCAATCAGGTACCTCCAGTGTGCAGAAACCAGTTACAACATAGGCCTGCACAGGCCAGTGTCTGTGTCCTCCTTTTCCAGAGAGTCACGTGATGCTAGAAAAGCTGATTTTGTCTTCTGTAAACAGTACACTTACTTAGATGGCAGTGAATATTTGGGAATAAATATATCAAGCCCTCTTGAAGTAAAATTAAGAGTTGTATATAAAATGCAAGTGTTCGGCATGGAGACACTTTCTTTTCTGACCCCCCCTTTAAAAAACAGTGTAATTAGACATTTGGATATAGAGGCTATTTTACTTTTTTAAGTCTAAATAAATGATCTGAAAGGCTTTTATCCCCCATTGTATATCTTACAATGCTCAAAGGGTTAATACAAGGCATTACAGCAAAGGGCTTTTATAGGACTAGAACTCAGCACCGAATTAATGCTTCAGTTCCAGTCTTATAAAAATCACCAGACTCGCAGAAATACTAGGGTTCTGTTAAGGGGTTTGCTCTACCGTGGACATGGAGGTTGCTTTGACCCTGTCACAGCCCGGTGTTCAACAACACTGCATGCCAGCCCTCCTCCCCCATACTCTGACATGACCCACAGAGATCATAGAGTTCTGATTTTCATTTCTGGATGGTTTGATTTGCTCTAAAGAATTTGGGGAGAGGGAGGTTATGACAAAGTCAATCTGTTACAGATAAGCACTGCCTCACCTCGTGTACAAATGTGACTAGTCATGTTTTTGACTTCCTACTGTGTCCACGCAATGAGGACCAGCACAGTTACACACTTGTTTGCTTTTACACCGATGCTGCAAGCACAGCGTTATTTTAGACATTTCAAATATAATAAGAATAATCTTTTAAAAACTGAAAATGCATTAAGCACTTCTAGAGAGAGTGTCCATGATGACAGCATGGGAGCAGTACTCACTCCTGATTGACATCTCCAGCATTCTGCAAGAACGTGCTCATTTCTGCACATCTACTACAAATCAAAGGCAGTTAATGTTGCACACTACTAACTTTATGTATGCAGCGCAAAAACCATCTGTGTATTTTACCTCTGTTTTTAAAGTACACCATCTAAAGAGAGGTGCATGAACCGTGCTATACAGTACAAGGGAAATCATGAAAAGGAACGCAGATCTCTGAAAAGGCAGTAAGACTCACACAGTCAATCCAAACACGATTTGGATGCAAATCCCTAGTAACTTGGTATCCAAAAGAAATAAAACATCAAAAACTGGGCCCTGTGTTCCCAGGAGAAGGTTCACCCATTCCACTCATTGTTCACTGGTTTTAGAAGTGCAAATCTTTTGGCTATAATTCTCCAAGTGTTTGCTAATATTAAACTATTCCTATAATATTCAATTGTATTACATGGAGACAGCTCTTCTGAAATGTACCAACAGCTCATGCACCTCCCTTCCCTTTTCCTCACCAGAAGTGTAGCACTTGGTTCACACTCATGTATTTCAAGACTATCATTTGATTCCAATGTCAAGAAATACCAAAAGTCCTTAAAATCCGTATTGTGTCAATAAGTCTACAATGAAGTCTCATTGTAATGCGAATTTTTAGAAAAGTCAGTTTTGGGGAATGAAAAATGGAAACAAATGTTAAATGACTACAACATGTGATTGTTCTAGCTTATGCCTGCATATAAATTAGTTTTGTTGTCTAATATATTTCACAATTCAAATCCAAAATTGATGTGCGTTCAAGTGTGTACTACAAATAGCTAGAAGTGTCATAAGCCATTGGTGTTCTGTTGTGTGCATTGGTTAGAACTAGCTACACTAGTGTAAAAGGATTAATGTTTCTAATTATTTATAGAAGATTTCAGAATATTTTTGAGTCAATTCTGACCATAACAAGGCTTATTAATATCTACTCTGTCCTAATTTAGAACAAACCATGAACAAGTGGAAGAAATGTGGAATTCTGGAGGGCCACTCAGTCCCTCACTCTGATGAGTCTACATCTATCCATTGTTAGCAGATTCCTTTCATGATACAAGTATCTCCAACATTAAATTAAATGAAACAGTGATACAAATACATTAAAAAATCAACCAATAAACACAGTGAAACCAGTAAATACATTTGGTCCAATACAGACATGATGCCATCTGTTGATGACAGGGAGAGACAGGAAACTGAAAGACCTCAGGAGGGAGAATTAAAATGAAGAGAGCTATGTGATGATTTAAATTTTATGTGTAAACATTTTCTAACTCACAACGAAGTAGATCCATGGTCTTTGTAGCTTATGATAGATTATGCAGGGGAGGGGTTTGCAAATTCATTGCCTTTGGGAATCTTCAGTAAATGAAGTGATGCTTGGATGCCAGTGAAGACTCAAGCATGAGGAAGTTCCTTAATACAAAATCAGAGCCCACTAAAAACCATATTTATGATATTTTAATTTAAGAAATGCTGTTGATCTTCAGAAGTTTGAGACAATCAGGCAATAACAGTTTCAATACACTGTGTTTCCTGATAAGCCATTTGGTATTTTTAACTTTTCAGACTGGTGCAGCCTTATCTCCTTAACCACACTCCTCACCCAACTCAACTGGAAAGATGAAGTCTTCAGTTTAATAGAGGCTTCAGTAGTGATCTAAACATTGTGTTGTGCTTTCCTTTGCTTTTTTTGGCTTTATTGATTTCTTTATTTATTGACTTTCACTGATTTATTTTTATAGTTATTTAAACAAAAGAATGTGTCCTATTTTGTTGTTGTTGTTGTTGATAACTTGAGTCCTGAAAAGAACCTTGGTTTTCATGCAAAATAAACATGATGAGCCTGTGCTCTTTAGGGTCTCACCTTCTGACTGCAGCAGACTCCTGCTCCATGTGTGTGCGTGCATGCATGGGTGAGTGCGTGTGCATGTGTGTGAATGTGTGCATGCGCATACAGAGACACACAGACACACAGACAGACATTTAGACTGAAAAGATGCACTTCAATAAGTACCTGCTCATTGTGTTAGCTTTCCAGAATTGTAACTAGATAAGAATGGTCTACAACATATGACCTTTAAGTAACATGTTTGTATGAAAACTAGCCTGTTAGTCCATACCCTTAGCAATCTGATTTATAATCAAGTGATATTCAGCTCCAAGGATAAAACATAGACAAGTCCACTCACAGTCACTCAGAGAGAAACTGAAGTTTTTGTCTCTTTGTGTTGCTTCACTTTTCCCCTCAATTCCCCTTGAAGAACATGTGGCCTGTCCTTACTTCAGGAGTCTGAGCACGACAGGCACACTTTACCAAATGGGTTGAAGAGTTATTCACGAACAAAATAAACCTTACTAAACCTTAGCTCAGTTCTGTTTTAAGGCACCATGTAATAGCCGAGGTACGATGATCCCTGATGTACATTCTTCAATGGCAATGGTCCATCCAGCCACCTATCCAAATCCTACAGAATCGGGGTCAGCAACAGTGAGGTGTGCCAGTCACACTGCCTTCAGGTTCTGTGTAAAATTTAAATCCATGTACTTTAGAAACCAGGAAATAACAATATGCAGGTCGCTACATTCCTTGCATTCTATACATTTTTTATAATAGCAGCATATTGAACTACTATTAGAAAAAAGACCTGGAATAAAAGAAAGTCATCCAAATGGAATGGTTTCCTGTATGTCCAGCTCAGTATAAGTAGCATGTACACTTTAAAAAAAAAAGTCAAGTCATTTTTCAGCTTCAGTATCTAACTATAACAGCCCCACTTAACAGCAGAATGCATCTGTGCAGTGGTCCCAATACAGAATCAGTAGTCTTTAAACAGAGGAATTGGTATGTAAATAATAGTTAAAAGTCAATGTCTAACGGAAGCTTGCATTGTTAACATGGTTTAATAGTTATGTACACAAATTATGTACATATGAGCATAATCTCTTGCCATTCTGTCATTTACCCTGAACTGATAAATGCACAGCTCAATTTTTTTTCAGAGAAAAATAGATGACCTTCCCAACCCTCTACCATTATAATAAAAACGCTCTGTATTCTTTCCATACTCCAAAATGTTATCAAAATAGTGTCTTATGGTTCTGTCCAATGAAAAGCACCTTCCAGAAGCAAATTTGATGCATCTGCTGCCAAATGGGCATGCCTCCAGTGTAAATCAAAGAAATTCATTTCTTTTGATATTTCACAGAAGTGCATCTAATTAAAAACCTTACACATAAAATCATACACCAAGACTAACAATCAACAATAAAATATTTTAAGCTACAAAATGTAAATTACTTTCTAAGTATGAGAAAACAAAAACAATGACATTACGTGTTGTAAAAATCCTTCTTGACACCTGAAACTAAGGGGGAGTGGGGGAGAAACTCCTATTATTAAAAGGCAAATAATTTGTGTTAAAAAAAAAAACCTGGAAAAACACATACACCCATTCCATTTCACAACTCCAAAAAGGTAATGTTCAGCACAGACAGACTTTTGACAACAGTCAACCTTTAGGCTTGTTAAAATTTCAGCTTAAGCCCAGGATAGTGGGGTAAAGTAAGCTCGAGACATTATTTCGTGCTGTTAGACTGCCGTGTAGGTGTTGCCCGTGGCGCTGCACTGCCGGATGGTCTGCGTGCTCGTGACGATGTGCTCGCTGTGCACGGGGCTCAGGAGGCTGGGCTGCACACCACTCTCCAGGACTGGCTGCATGCAGCCCACTGGGAAGGCCTGGCTCAGCTCTGTTTTCTCTCTTTTGGCCTGAGGCTCTGAAGAATCGTCCAGGTCTTCATCCATCTCACTTTCTACTTCACTGCCTTCATCTGCACAGACACCACCAGAAGACATCAACGCATGGCTCATAATCACCCGAGTATAACAGCTCACTGAGCAACCTCGGCTTTCCCTAGGGGAGGAAACCTGTAGGCTGTCCTCTCGTGGGATTTTATTCCCCTTCGTGCTCTAGTGAGACAGTCACAATTCTTTCAGACATTTGGAATTTTATATAAAATTTCTGTATTGAACAACAGCATAATTTGTGCCATCATAATGTAGTCACTTTGGCATATTATACTGATCTTAGAGGGGGAGGGCACGCAAAAATGTTTACTGTGTTTGGTCCAGGCTGACTTAATGTAGATGAGGCCTGTGCTGCTCCACAGAACAACTACCACACTATGACTCATGATCTAACTACTGTGTAACTATTGCTCTACAGACAGCAAACATCAAACTGAATAAATTCTTAATTCATATGCTAAGAAAAAGCAAACTAATGAAGTGGTAATGGGAGATTTTAAACATGCACAAAGGACATCTTTGCTGGCAGCATTAATTCTGTAAATACTTGTAATTTGTTTCTGAAAATTAAACATATATATTATTCACCTTTGCTCCCAAATTTTATTACATTGATATAACTCATTTTTGTGGAAAAAACCCACAAAAATTCATGTTCCACTTGTAGCCAAGGGAAACCCATATAGGAGGCAGTAGCAACTCCGCCATGAGCCGGCCAGGGAAGGGATTAATGAAGGATCCCTTTATCCATCTTGCTGTAGATAGAAAAAGCTCTGAGAACACAGTCTGAGTAAACTCCAGAGTTGTAGGTCTATCTGACTTGCCCCTATCGTCTCTGAGAGACAGGTTCCTTAGGACACCAGGTCCTCAGTGCACTTCGACAGCCAGCTGTGCTCCCGCTCTGGAAACACACTTGAGTTTTGTTGCACAAAAGCTATAGTGGGGTACTCTTGGGGTTGATCAAATTCCTTGATTCTTTACTTTATGAAGAAGACTGTAGGTAAGTGATCACCCACGTAATTTTCTGAGGTTACAACTGCAATTTCACAGGTTGTACCTCTGCAGCAATAACATGCTGGGGGAGACTAACCTTCTCATTTTCTTGCTCTGGTACTAAAATGGAAATTAAGACAAGAACAGTGGTAACAGCATGTCAGAGAGAGCTATCCAAAGAGTGATGGTACAGACAGACACAGAAGGGGTGCTATGGAAATTCTGGGGCAGCGCACTTGGGGAAACAGTGCTGCATGTTTTTGCAGACTCCCAAGCCCTTTCTCTGACCTCAGTTTCTCTAGAGGGTCTCTGGTAAGAAGGTATAAATGTACTTCTTCCTAGAAATGCCAATAACTGTAACAATTCTTCAAGTTCCAAGCAAGAAGATAGCTATATTACTGTAGTGTTGCTTTCCTGAAAGACATGTTATGATTTAAAACCTCATTGCCATTTTAAGAATTGTTCTTTTAAAGTTGGATTGGATTTATGCGTTCTAGTCTTACTCAACTCACCTTTGACCCTTCTGTTCTTTTTACTGCATTGTCTTATTGACCATTAGGTTATTCAGGAGGGCATACCATGTATACATAACAGCATACACTAGACTGACAATACCATCATAGAAATCTATTTATCCTTCTCAACTCAACTACTGATCACTGTGGTTTTACGATACACATTACTGCTACCTCTGAGTTCTTTTGCCATTGAAAAGTTAGCTGACTAGTAGATGGGTAAGCTAAGGGGTCTTTTTATTGCCTGGCTTTGAATAAAATCCTCTGGTCCAATTTTAGAATATTCTTTCAGAATTCTGGCCATGGTCAATAATTTTTTATTTATACTGAACTTCTGTGACAAAGTTTAAAGAGTATGGAACTGCATTTAAATTCAATCTTCTGCATTCAGTGTATTTCACATGACGAAGACATGAGGAAACACCCAGCAATATCCCAAGGGATGCCCAAGACAGCTAGCTGCTGCTTTCCTCCTGGTCTGCGCACTACGTCCAGAGGATCCCAGTGCTGCAGCCATACTGCTTCCTCTCACAAGATCTCAGCTAAAAAGTCCTTCGAAGTTTTCAGTTCTTACCTTTATCCAGATTTCCAGGAGACACAGCATTTAAATCACCAAACTGCAGAATAACAGACATTTGTGCAATAGTTATTACTTGACAGAATAAAAGAACATTCTATCAGTCTGTGGTAAAAACACCACTGCATGACTTTTTAAAAGTGTGAACTGCTGACCATTTTGCTCCCTAACGAGAAAGGCCACACAATTTTTCAATCAAATGTGTCAAATCTGAAGCTTAAAATATGTTGCAATTGAGTTGTCTTCACCTCTTTGAGAAAGGATAACAATTTTCTTTGGCTTCCATGCTCCATTTTACTTTTATTTCAGTTTAGCAATGAAGAAAGAGGCCTGGCTGACCTGGATGGTGATGTGTGTGATGAAATCATTTGGAAGCCCCAGTCAAACAGTATACATCCTCATGCTTGGCCAGTGAGTCTGGCTGGGACCGTCATGGCTGGATCACAGCCTTGCAGTTGTGGGGATTCTCATCAGTGAGAGACAGACACAATGGGAGCTCCAGAGCTGAAATAGTCTTTAGGTCACATTGTAAAATTTGAGCCTTCTCTAAATTAATTGATACTCTTATTTACCAGGATACAAAGGCTCCTTTTTTTTTTTTTAAAGAAAGGAAAGGCATTTGCTACAAGCAATGTGAACAGCAGTTCTCCACACTGGAACAATTAACAGCCATGGGCATAGATGCTCCTTTCTGCTTTCTTCAATAGCTTGATGATAATCTAACAGCAAGAAAGTACATTTTGAGTCTCTCAGGGGGAACAAAGATAGATACACTAAATAAGAAACTGACTAGCAGAGGTACAAAGCTAATCCAAAAGAAGCAAAGTGAAACATAAAGCGTCTGCTTTTAGAAAAGATTCCACGGCAGTTTTTTTCAAAGCAGTTATTAGAAATTCAGATTTCTCAACAGACTTAAAAAGGATGAGACAGAAATTCTACTTACATTCGGAAGTTTGCTTATAAAGAGTTCCGTGATAGGAGTACATTTTTCATCTACAAGGAATGTCTATAAAGTAATAAAACTGATCTTATTTTGCAAACACGTGCATGTTGTTTCTTTCCCACTTAAACAAACACTATGTCCACAGATGCTACCTCGGGAGCGCATACATCTGTTCTAAGGTAAGGGTTCTGGAACAGTCCTCTTTGACAGCCACTTTCAGAGTAAGTTTGTGCATAATTCCAGAAAGTTCATACTGTCAGCTCACTTCCAAATATGACTCCATGTTTCTGTTCACTACATTTGGTCTTGGACTTTATTTGCTTATAAAGAGTTCCATATTCAAATCAAATTCATCTTTGTCACAGTTCAGGGTATTTATAATAATATATCCCTTTACTCCTTGTGGTTCTTAGCATTATAAAAGAAGATTAAGGAGAGGCATTCCACTCTATCGTTAAGCCACAGTTAAGCAGCTTTACTGGAATAAATGCATAGCTTTTCCAGGTGACTGCTTCTAAGGGAAGGGGCCTCCTGAACATGCAACTCCTACTCCATTTGCTGGAGATGCTGTCCCACTACTTGACAGTTGTATCTTACTGGGCAACAAAGCATAGCTACTGAACTGCTGTTTTGAAGAAGACCCTGAGTACATGGGCCAACATCCTATGTACATTTAAATAAAATTCAAAGTATAAATTATATGGTTTTTGAATCACAGAATATAAAACAAGCAACAAATATTCAAGGGGATTATTTATCCACCTTGGGTCTTAGTTAAACATTTAGGACTATAGACAGAGGACATTAAAAATTAAGAATCATTATATTATCATTTAATAATTCTTAGGATCTAGACTCAGAACAAACTGACAATCATGACTCTAAGCACATCTCTGCTTATAAAAGGGTGAGGATAGGTTGTATATTACTTATCTGAATGCTTGGGAGCAAAAGTGTTTCAGATTTCAGACTTTTTACAAATATTAGAATATTTGAAAACATATAAAGATTATGGATGGAACTTAACTATAAACATAAGATTCCTCGTTTTATAAATAATTTATATACCTAGCAATTGCAGTATTTTTAATGCACATAATTTTGAGTGTACCCCATCACATGATACTTGCAGTATTACAGTGGTACTCAAAACTGTCATATTTTGAGATAGTTTTAAGTTTTGGATTATAGTAGTTCAAACTATAATGTATTTGTTCATTTAAAAACCTTAAAGACACTTGTTACTATATGTAAAGGTTTTTCTTAGAAACTCTGCTTAACTTGGATGTGTCTGACTATTCATAACGATGAAAACAAGCCGTTCAACCTGAAACCACCTATTGTTACTGTTATTAGCAAAATAACATGCACGTGCGCGCGCGTGCGCGCACACACACACACACACACACACACACACACACACACTGCTTTTCAAAACGCTCTGGGCTGGATGATGTACAAAGAGCAGCAAAGACATTGCCAATGTCCTCAGATATCTCTGAGATAAATGACAAAGTTGTACACACATAGCAAAAGGAGACAATAGATGAGAAATCAAAGAATCCAATGAAGAAGTGAAGAGATTTTAATAGACTAAAGAGAGAATTTTTAGGTGTATTTCATATGTGAGAATCCAGTGAAGAAGTGAAGAGATTTTAATAGATTAAAGAGAGAATTTTTAGGTGTATTTCATATGTGAGAGCAATATACATGTACATACACATATGATATATAGTAGAAGGAATTAATTTCAACCCTATAGCTAGGCTGGGTAAGATTTAGCATCAGTTCATCTGTTCAGTTATTAAATAAATATTTAATGAGCACCTACCACATTTGAACACTGACCCAAACAGTATCAGTCAGATCAAATTAGAAAATCCTTTTATGGAAGTAACTATAAGTAGTTGCTTCCAGTATGAAGGCTGGGTAGGCTAGCAGGAAAATGAGGCAGCCCAGAAACCTTAGGGGTCAAAAATGAGAAATGGAAATCAATTGTACGGGCTTAAGGTTTCAGCAGCCAATCAAAGTAGTGGTAGAAAGGCATGAGAGGGTGCAAAGAGGAGAAGCATGGGAGAGCAGGCAGATGTCATGGACCCTCATCAGGTCAGAAAGGAAGGAAGCAATATAAGCTGTGAATAGAAATGAACAAGGGGACTCATGAGAAAGCCTGGGTTTTGTAAACCTCTAGTTGCAGAAATCGGTGAAGCTACTTTTGTAGAGTTTTTCTGCTGTAGAAAGGACTGGAGCAGAGAAAAGCTACTATGCATTGATATGACAGTACACACATACAGAGTGCATTATTTAGTGGTCCAGTATGTTTTCTTCCAAATAAGTGTGGCCTCATGGGTCACTTTCTGAATATACTTTCTTGAAGAAGCCTTTCCCAGAAGCTCCACCTAAAGAACCCCATTCCCCACCGCTCCCAATAACTGCACGTACTTCCCGGTCTGTATATAAGGGCAGCTGTGCTTCCTTCCCAGGCCCTTCTGCAGGAGCCTGCAGTGCTGACCTTGTCTGCTCACTTAGTGTGCGTTTTAACTATGACACTGGTGCCACAGCATGAGGACTTTATGCTGTCACCAGTCCATTCCAAACCTCAGTGTGGTGTCTGACCCCCACTGTGAAGAGGAAAGGAATGCTTACAGACACATGCACCCGTTCCTTCACTTTAGCCTCCCAAACAAAACTCAGTATGTGTCAAGACGGGGGAACTGGATTCCATCCTATAACTATAAAAAAAAAAGTTAGTCGATTTGACTACCACCACTTAGTAAACATGTGACGTTACATTTGAGGCCAGAGGTATTTTCATTTTAAAGTTATGAGAAAGAGATTTTGGAGGTGAGGGCAGTGAGAGGGATATAGAGATCTCATATTTTTGTAAGAAATATAAATATATAAATTAAGGGATTTAACAAGTGCTCTTGTAGAAAATGCATGGCATTCAGTGCGCAAAGGAATTAAAATTATGTCAACCAGATGAACAGGAAATTCTGTAAAGTCAAAACAAGCATGGATTACAGAAAAGGCATGGCATGGATGAAGGCAGAGTCGGCCTCAACTAGTTCTGTTGTTTTTGAAGAGAAAAACTTGTGTGAGAAACCACTTCTGCAGATTCTAACCAGAGGTCCCAATACTGCCCCCCGAGTGGCCCAGACGCCCAAGAGAATATCTAAGCACTGCAGTGTGTGGCAGCCTGGCAGTCCACAGGGATACAAACAATGGCTATGCAGTGTGAGGGGCACCTCTTCAGCAAGCCCCCGGGAGCCACCAAGCAGTTGAGGGGTAGCTTCTTGCAGGACGCAGAGGCTTCATATACCCAAGAGGTTTATTAGGATCACAGAGGTGAGAACTGTCAGTGTGACATGAGGTAGTCAGTTCGGAGAATGAAGGAGAAACTACAATTGAGACTGTTAAATGTATGGGGCTGAAGATGAGAACACCTTTAAGTTCCTCATCCAGTGAGGGTCTAGAGAGCAACTCTTAACACTGAAGCTCCACAGTAAGGGATAGGACAGCCTGGTTTGTTAGCACCATCCCATGGTTCCATGAGGTCTACACTGTACAGAGGATACAGTCAGAAGCCCAGTTGCCGGCCTGTGAAAGGACTACAGGCCGTTTATACAGCAGAGCCCAAAAGAAGTGTGAGCAGACCTTGATAAGCACTCCTACTGACCATGAGCTTCAGCAGCTGACAGTCTGTAGAGTGAGGAAAGCTTCAGTTACCGAGAAGCTTCTTCCTGCACGAGTGTCAGTTACTGCAGGGGAATCTACACAGACCCAGGAGGAGGGCATGCTGGCCTAGGTTGCAGGCCAATCTTGAGCTATTTATCCGAAGTTGGCCTTGAACTTTCTGCCGCCTGCTTCTACATCCCAAATGCTGAGATCATCGGCATGTTCTACCATGTACTTCCTGGTCTGTATATAAAGTCTGTATGGACTCCTTCCCTTACTCCTGCCATTTTACAATCACGTATGAAATTTTTCAATCATTACTATTAGTTAACATTGAATTCAAGCCTGGCTATGACTGTCTAAACCTAATTATATTGATGCTCTTCCCTAACACTGGCATTTTCTTTCTAATTGACTTATTTCTCCATTCTATTTTGTTGGTCATGTTTTTCAAATCACTGAATTAATTTGCCTCTGATTATCACTTTGGCTACATACCAACGAATGCTGCCGGATTCTTTGTAATTCTATGGATTATTTGATTCAGTATTCAAAGACTGTAGGCTATTTTTTTCTGTTACAATACAGCATTATTAAAGACTGCATTATGCTTTGTTATTTTTTCTGTTTATTTTATCGCCTGAGTTCACCTTTGTTGGACCAAAAAGTGATGGTCCAATTATACAAATCATTGCTTGAAATTATAAGTACACAATCAACTAAATCTTAATAAAAGGCAATCAAATACACTTTGGGGCAATGCATAGAATTCAATGTTTATAAACTTATGCAAAAAGGATGGGAATAGAACTAAGGTCAAGTACTTACTATGTGTCTGTCTGCGTCTCTATCTCCCTATTTACCTCACAGTGCCAGCAACAAGGCACCTGGCTGCTGGACTCTGACAGTGTAGACCTCACGGCATCACAGGGTAGTGCTAACATAAACAAGCTTTCCAAGGTCTTTGTTGTTGCAGCTGGTGATGTGGGGTGGTCCTCACGAAACTGGAAGACAAGGCTGTAGTATCCTACTCCTTACTGTATGACTCCACCTTCACCTTACCAATTTAACTCTCGGAATAGTTCCATAAATAAACTGTCTCTAGGCTTATTTTACTGATGACAAAACTAAGTCTCAAGCAAGAATAAAAAGAACTTTTTAACTATTCAATTTAAAGTGATGAGTACAGCAGAGCAAGAGCACACAGGAAACGGACCAGCTTGACTGGATTTAAATCACAGTTCTGACACTGCAATCGCTGTGATTCTGGGCCAATTATACTGTTGGAACTTCTGATTTCCTTATCTACAAGTCAGACAGGGTTAGCACCAAGATTAAATATGCACATTTACCCGAAGGTCTAGAACAGAGACAAAGACAGACTG